GGGGGGGAGGTCAGACGGGGCCAGCAGGGTGGGGTCTCACTCAAACCTCATTTTGGGGGATGATTTCCCCCCGGGAACAGGGAAATCCTGCTGGATTGGGGCGGGAGGGGCTGCGCTGCCGGCGGGAAGGAGGAGAAGGAGCTGCTTTCCTCGGAGGGGAAGGGAGTGGGACCGAGGGCAGGGGGCGGGAGGGGGGGTGGGGGGGTCTCAATACTTGACCCCCGAGGACTTGACGGTGGTGGTGGTGACGCACCTCCGCACCGAGGACGAGCCCCCCCCGGCCACGAAGTTGCCGCACATCCTCCCGCTGCCGGAGGAGAAGCCCCCGCCGAGGATCCCCCCTCCCACCCCGCAGGAGCCCCCGACGACGCTTCCTCCTCCTCCGACCACGCACACTCCTCCTCCTCCTCCTCCTCCTGTGGCCAGCCCGTTGGTGGCCCCGAAAGTGCCAGCCCGGCCCCCGCACACGGTGGTCCTGCCCACCACGGCTGGTAAAAAGAGAGAGGGGGGGGAAAGAGTCCTGAACATCCTTGGAAGTGCCGGGAATCATCAGAACAAACCGCGGGATTAAAGTGATTCCAGAGAGAGAGAAAAATGATGGGGGGGAAAAAAAATACTTACAGACATTCACGTTGGAAGGGTTGTCCCCACAGAGCCTGTGAAGGGAGAGGAGCAGAGTGTGAGCCCGAGACGAGAGGAGCCAGAACTCCCCGAAATCCCCCCCCCTAAATATTCCTGTTTCATCCGAGATCGGTCAAACCCGCCCTGGGGACCGCGCTCCTGTTTTGGGGGCTTCGAAATTCCGAGTTGGGAGAAGAAGCAGGAGGGAAGGGAAATGCGATTCCGGCGTCAAATGCCGAGAATTTGAGAGGTGACGAAGGGTTAAGCCGACCCGGGGAGGGTCTCACCGGTTCTCCTCCCCCTCCAGCAGCTTCCTGTACATGGCGATCTCCACGTCCAGCGCGATCTTGATGTTGAGCAGCTCCTGGTACTCCTTCAGCAGCCGGGCCAGCTCCTCCTTGTCCTTGCTCAGGGCACATTCCAGCTCCTCCAGCTTCCTGCGGGCGTCCTTGAGGGCCATCTCGCCCCTCTCCTCGGCCTCGGCGATGGCCGATTGCAGGTGATGGTTCTGGGGGCAGGAAAAGGTGCTCGTTCCCAGAGAACCCGCAGGGATTCACCGCGGGGTGGGGGGAAGGAAAACAGGCAGGAACCACCCCCTGAGGCACCAACCAGCCCTTTACCTGCTTCTTGACGTTCTCAATCTCCGTCCTCAGCCTCTGCACGTTCCTGGTGAGCTCCTGGATCTCCAGCTTGGTGTTCCTCAGGTTGTCCCCGTGGCGCCCGGCCGTGCTCTGCAGCTCCTCGTACTGGGGGACAAAGGGGCACATCAGGGACAGAAGCCACAGCAGGGGACTGTCCCAGGGGTGCCAATCCCACCCCGAGGGCTCACCCTGCTCTGGTACCAGGCCTCGGCCTCGGCCCGGCTGTTCTGGGCGATCTGCTCGTACTGGCGCCGGACCTCCTCGATGATGCTGTCCAGGTCCAGGTGCCGGTTGTTGTCCATGGACACCACCACGGACAGGTCCCGGCTGATGCTCTGCATCTGGGACAGCTCCTGGGGGATACCCGGACAGGGGAGGCACAGTTAAAAAAAATCCACCTGGATTTGGGTGGATCTCCAGCCTGAATCCATCCGGACAGCCCGGCCCGACCAGGGGGTCCTCGGCCACCACACCCCTGATGTCACCCCCAGCCCGTTTCAGAGCTCCTACCTCCTCGTAGATGCACCTCAGGAAGTTGATCTCGTCGGTCAGAGCTCCCACCTTGGCCTCCAGCTCCACTTTGGTCATGTAGGCACAGTCCACGTCCTGAGGGAAAGATCAGTGACCAAAAACCTCCCTCCGATCCCCCAGGAGCCGCTGGCTCTTCCCGTCGGGACCCGCCCATCTCGGTGCCGAGTCCCTGCGGTGTCTTTGTCCCCCCCAGTCCCCTCCCGGGGTCCCCCCCCTCACCTTTTTCAGCACCACGAACTCGTTCTCGGCCGCCGTGCGCCGGTTGATCTCCTCCTCGTACCTGGGGGGGCACAGGGCAGGGGTGGCACCCTCAGCACCCTCACCCCTCAACCAGCAAAACCCACCCCCTCCCCTCCTCCCGCTTCTCCCCGGAGCACCCTCAGCCCCGTTCCTTGCCCGTGGGGTCTCCCGGGTGGTCCCCCCCCCTCCCCAGGGCACTCACTTGCTCTTGAACTCCTCCACGTACTGCCGCATGTTCTGCAGCTCCGACTCCAGCTGCCCCCGCTGCCCCAGCAGGTTCTCCAGCTGCCTCCTCAGGTTCTGGATGTAGCTCTCAAAGATCACCGTCAGGTCCTTCCTGGGCCCCGACGGCCCCTGCTGCTGCAGCAGCTCCCACTTGGTGGACAGGACCTTGTTCTGCTGCTCCAGGAACCGCACCTGAACCCGACCACCAGGGCGTGTCAGACATTCCCGGCGGGATTATCCCAATTCTTCAACCTCCTGAGAGCTCTGGGAGCCC